AATCACTCATACTGATTACAGTATAATTACTAAATATTGTAAATTGATGGTAATTTCACTAGCAAATAACACACAAAACTAATAATGATAATAACAATGACTAAGAATTCAAGGATCTTATATTAACATGATATCCTTTGTTCCTTTCCGAAATTTTATCTAAATCAATGAAAAATATAAGAGAAAAAAATATATAAACACACAATCATACATGTATATGCCTATATGTACCTATCTATCTATCTATATGTTGTGTATATGTACTTATGTAGGTTATATTGTTGCTATTGCTCTTGCCTTTTATTGTTATTCATTATCTCTCATTATATTATTATCCCTTTTCATTGCTGTTATCAGTATCATCTCATCAACTCATATCATGATTATGATCTAAATCAGGGCTTCATCCGGCAACCTCGCCGCCTTTCGCCTTAGCATTCATCTTCACTTTCCCTTTTATCATAAATTTCCTCATTTTATCATTATCATGAATTTCCTCATTTTATCATTAACCTCACTTTCCTCATTTTATCCTTATTCTAATTTTCCTCACCTTCCTCCTCTTATCCTTTTCTATTTTCCTCCCCATTTTATCCTTATTCTCATTTTCCTCTTCATTTTATCATTATCCTCACTTTCCTCATCTTATCCTTGTTCTCATTTTCCTCACCTCCCTCCTCATTTTATCATTATTCTCATTTTATCCAAATTCTCATTATTCTCATCCCTCCTCATATTATCATTATCCTCACTTTCCTCATTTAAATCCTCATTTTATTTATTTATCCTCATTTTTCATCATTCATCCTCACTTTCCTCATTTTCCTCCTCATTCCCCCATTCTCGTTCTCCTCAACAGAACGACAACCTGCGCAGCGAGGCGGGCGCCATGCGGGGCCGCGTGGACCGAGCCGAGATCGAGCACGAGATGCGAATCCAGGAGCTCGAGCAGGAACTCGGCTCGAAGAACACCGAACTCGAGAACAGGACCAAGAACTTGAAGATCCGGCTGGAGACGATGGAGAACTCGAGCCGCCAGCAGAACCAGGAGAAGCTCGAGGTGGAGAGGCTGCTGAGGGAGGACCGAGAGAAGCTCCGCCAACTGCAGCTGAAGCTCGACACGCTCGAAGCTTCGAAGCAGAGCAGCGAACGGAGGGTCCTGTCGCTCTCGTCGACGGAGCGAGACCTCAGGGAGTCCAAGGAGACGCTCAGTCTGGAGAACGAGGAGCTGAGAGTCGAGCTCGAGGGACTCAAGACGAAGATGGAGGCGAAGGAGAAGGAGTGGGCGGCCAAGATGGAGGCGGAGGCGAAGGCGGCGGAGAGTCGGGTGAAGCAGAGGATTGAGAAGACTTGGCTCGACAAACTGAAGAGGAGCGAGGAGAGCGCCGCGCAGGACGTGAGTGGAGATCCCGTTTTCTATGATGAGGTTTTCAGGAGAAGGGGGGGGGACTCCTCTATTTTGAGGCTTTGCTTAGTTTCTCTTATTATTTTCTGTTATGAATCTGATAATGGTAGTGAGGATGATGATGATTACAATGATGATGATTGATAGTGATGATGATAATTATAAAGTCAATAATAACGATGATAATGATAATGATAATCCTTGCATGGACTGGATACTGGGCAGAGCTACTGTTCAAAGTCATTGGGGCAACGCGGGCAATATCAAGGTTACAGACCTTGACTTGCTGATGACGTTGCCATTCTATCTGAGTCTTTGGAAACCCTAGTGGCGGGCTCTTGATGCATTTAGCAATGAAGCGAAGCCCCTGGGTCTAGAGGTCTCCTGGACCAAGACCAAGGTCCAGGAATTTGGGGACTTGTTAGGAGAACCTGTTCAGTCGGTACGTGCTTGCGGCGAGGACATTGAGTCACAGAGAGCTTTACATACCTTGGTAGTGTAGTTCATAACTCTGGGCTGTCAGACCATGAAGTCAGCAGACGGATTGGCCTGGCAGCAGGGGTCATGAACTCTCTCAACAAGAGTATTTGGAGATGTCGGTACCTGTGCAGAAGGACCAAGCTACGGGTTTTCAAGGCCCTGATAATGCCAGTTTTGCTATACGGTAGCGAAACCTGGACATTGTCCTGTGCCTTGGAGGCTCGTCTTGAAGCCTTTTGTAATAGGTCCTTGCGCCAGATCATGGGGTACTGTTGGCGGGACCATGTGTCCAACCAACGGTTGCACCGTGAGACTGGCACAAGCCCTGTTTATCTGCACAATCCGTGATCGCCAACTCAGGCTATATGGCCACCTGGCTCGCTTTCCTCAGGATGATCCTGCCCATCAGGTCGTCTCTATTCGAGACTACCCTGGATGGAGGAGGCCTGTGGGGACGACCGAGGAAGTCATGGCTTGGGCAGATCGACCAAAACCTGCCGTGAAGAACTAGAGATGGGCGAGTCCCTGCCTGGCGTCTAGCCATGAGGATCCTCGTAGGTGGAAGCGAAGGGTGGATGCGGCTATGCGCCCCCGTCGGCGTCAGCCCCCATGATGATGATGATGATAATGATAATAAATGATAACAACACTACTACCATTACTAATGATAATGTTGAATATAAAAATGATGATTATATCAAAAATGATAATACTGATGAGTATGATAATGATAATAACGATGATGAATGACAATGATAATGATGCGAATGATAATAAAGCAATAATAATAATAACAATAGTAATAACAATATTAATATTGTCCTTTTTATATCAATTGATTATGATTATTATTACCATTCTTGTAATTATCATCATCATTAACTTATGAGGCTTAATTAGAATATTTGAATTTGTAGATGTTTCTTCCGTTAACTTTATTTTCGTTAATATACTCAGAATAACATCAATTTCCTTATCGTCACGACACAGTAAATTCCTTACTGATAAAACTGATTTCTTTCAACATCAATCAATCATTTTATCTTTGTTTCATTACAGTTTAATGGGGAATTAATTATATTTTCATTATTAAGTGGAAAATTATCTTTGACGATAGAAAAAAGGAGAAAATTGATCCTATATTTTTTATTCATTTTTTTCTCTTTCTTGTCAAGATGTTGAGTGCAACTGAAAATATTTTTGTCTTAGTGAAGGAAAGCGATAAAAGACAGAGAGTTAGAGATAGATAGATAGATAGATAGATAGATAGATAGAGAGAGAGAGAGAGAGAGAGAGAGAGAGAGAGAGAGAGAGAGAGAGAGAGAGAGAGAGAGAGAGAGAGAGAGAGAGAGAGAGAGAGAGAGAGAGATAGAGATAGAGATAGAGATAGAGATAGATAGAGGATAGTGATAGGTAGATAGAAAGATAGAGAAAGAGAGGAAAAAGAGAGAGAAAGAAAGAAGGAGAAAGAAGACAAGAAATGAGAAGAGAACACCAAGAAAATTGTTGCTATATAAGAGGGAAATAATTTTCTTAATTGAAGGGCACGGTGGTTGGTAAATTTAAAAAAAAAAAAAAAAATACTGATGTAGTGGTTTTAAACTTGATTTAGTTATTTGTAAACTATAACGAAAAGTATCTTTTTTGACTATTACATAACAGATATCTCGAGGAATAAACACAGAATGAAAAGAGATATTAGAATAAAAAGGAAATAAAAGTGAAATAAAGGCGATAAGAATGAAAAGGAAAATAAGAGAATGATAAGGGAAATAAAAGAGATAAGAATAAAAGGAAATAAAAAGAGATATGAATAAAAGGGAAAAAAGAGATAAGAATAAATGGAAATAGAAGAATAAGAATAAAAGGGAAATAAAAGAAATAAGAATAAAAGGACAAAACGAGATAAGAATAAAAAGGAAATAAAACGGGAAAATTAGTCTCAAAGACCGCCGTTTCTCTACACAAAATCAACAAATTAATCCGAGACGAAAACAGAAATCTCGAATAATAATAAAAAAAGAAACCAAAGAAAATAGATTAAACACCAAAAGAGGAAAATGTCACAATTTACCAATCTCCCAAACCGCTGTTTCTCCCTACACAAAATCACAAATTAACTCTGGAACGAAAACAAACTCGCTGGCCGTTGTACTGGTCCGCCATCTTGGATACGAGGCCGTGTACCCGCCTCTCGAACAAGCCTCTCTCGATATGCAGACACGTGTTCCCCTTCCTGTTTCGGCCGGGTAAATCATCCTAATGGCGGGATAGAGCTTGTAGGATAATTATCGGGTCAGAGTTCCCGTGTTCGCCGTCTCGTTCGCTTCGGAAAAGGGCGGGAAGAGGAGGCTGGCGCAACCTACCGCGCCGCCATATTTGGTGTGAGGGAACGCGAGGTTAAAACTTTTTTTTTGAATTAAGGAAACCGTTAAAATATTGTAAGGAAACGCGAGGTTAGAACATTTTATGAATTAAGGGAACCGTTAAATATTGTGAAGGAACGCGAAGTTAAAACATATTTTTCAAATTGAGGAAATCGTTAAAATATTTCGGTGTTTAGGTTAAATAGAATTGAATAGGC